CAAATGCGGCAACAGCGGCGGCGGCGTCGCCTCTGGTGATGCAGCCGCCGGCGGAGCTGTCGTCCTCGTCTCCACCTGTCCATCGAGTCACTTCGAGTCACTTCCTTCCCACTTGTCAATCGAGTGCCGCCAAATGCGGCAACAGCGGCGGCGGCGTCGCCTCTGGTGATGCAGCCGCCGGCGGAGCTGTCGTCCTCGTCTCCACCTGTCCATCGAGTCACTTCGAGTCACTTCCTTCCCACTTGTCATTCGAGTGCCGCCAAATGCGGCAACAGCGGCGGCGGCGTCGCCTCTGGTGATGCAGCCGCCGGCGGAGCTGTCGTCCTCGTCTCCACCTGTCCATCGAGTCACTTCGAGTCACTTCCTTCCCACTTGTCATTCGAGTGCCGCCAAATGCGGCAACAGCGGCGGCGGCGGCGCCTCTGGTGATGCAGCCGCCGGCGGAGCTGTCGTCCTCGTCTCCACCTGTCCATCGAGTCACTTCGAGTCACTTCCTTCCCACTTGTCATTCGAGTGCCGCCAAATGCGGCAACAGCGGCGGCGGCGTCGCCTCTGGTGATGCAGCCGCCGGCGGAGCTGTCGTCCTCGTCTCCACCTGTCCATCGAGTCACTTCGAGTCACTTCCTTCCCACTTGTCATTCGAGTGCCGCCAAATGCGGCAACAGCGGCGGCGGCGTCGCCTCTGGTGATGCAGCCGCCGGCGGAGCTGTCGTCCTCGTCTCCACCTGTCCATCGAGTCACTTCGAGTCACTTCCTTCCCACTTGTCAATTGAGTGCAACCAAATGCGGCAACAGCGGCGGGGGCGTCGCCTCTGGTGATGCAGCCGCCGGCGGAGCTGTCGTCCTCGTCTCCACCTGTCCATCGAGTCACCTCGAGTCACTTCCTTCCCACTTGTCATTCGAGTGCCGCCAAATGCGGCAACAGCGGCGGCGGCGTCGCCTCTGTTGATGCAGCCGCCGGCGGAGCTGTCGTCCTCGTCTCCACCTGTCCATCGAGTCACTTCGAGTCACTTCCTTCCCACTTTTGTCAATCGAGTGCCGCCAAATGCGGCAACAGCGGGGGCGGCGTCGCCTCTGGTGATGCAGCCGCCGGCGGAGCTGTCGTCCTTTTCTCCACCTGTCCATCGAGTCACTTCGAGTCACTTCCTTCCCACTTGTCATTCGAGTGCCGCCAAATGCGGCAACAGCGGCGGCGGCGTCGCCTCTGGTGATGCAGCCGCCGGCGGAGCTGTCGTCCTTTTGTCCACCTGTCCATCGAGTCACTTCGAGTCACTTCCTTCCCACTTGTCATTCGAGTGCCGCCAAATGCGGCAACAGCGGCGGCGGCGTCGCCTCTGGTGATGCAGCCGCCGGCGGAGCTGTCGTCCTCGTCTCCACCTGTCCATCGAGTCACTTCGAGTCACTTCCTTCCCACTTGTCATTTGAGTGCCGCCAAATGCGGCAACAGCGGCGGCGGCGTCGCCTCTGGTGATGCAGCCGCCGGCGGAGCTGTCGTCCTCGTCTCCACCTGTCCATCGAGTCACTTCGAGTCACTTCCTTCCCACTTTTGTCAATCGAGTGCCGCCAAATGCGGCAACAGCGGCGGCGGCGTCGCCTCTGGTGATGCAGCCGCCGGCGGAGCTGTCGTCCTCGTCTCCACCTGTCCATCGAGTCACTTCGAGTCACTTCCTTCCCACTTGTCATTCGAGTGCCGCCAAATGCGGCAACAGCGGCGGCGGCGTCGCCTCTGGTGATGCAGCCGCCGGCGGAGCTGCCGTCATGTTTCCCCCCCTGTCAATCCATCCTCATCCCCCACATGTCGCTTCGAGTGGCGACGGTGCGGGCCTGACGTTTGTGGCGGCGCCAGTGATGGATGCGTTGGCTTACGATTTGGCATGGGCGTGGTCTGGTGTTGCGGTTGCGTAGGTTGTGGCAGTTGTGTCGGATGTGGCGGCGGTGGCGGCTGCGGCAGGTGTCGCTGCGGTGTCGGTAGGTGTGGCGTTGGCGGCGGGTGTGTCTGCGATGGCGGTGGTAGCGGTTGTGGAGGCAGCGGTGCCGGTGCCGGTGGCGGGTGTGGCGTTGGCGGCGGGTGTGGCGGCTGCGGGAGGTGCGGTGGCATTGGTGACGTGTGTGGTGGCATTTACCTGGCGGCGTTGGAGTTGGCGTTGGCGGGTGTGGCGTTG